ATGGAAGAGATCTTTTCTTTTTCTCCCCAAGTTCCCAGGAGGGGAAGAAAAATAAAAGTTAATTTAATTTTTTTTTTGTTAATAATATGTAAACTTAACTTAATCCATCTACACAATTTTTATGATTTGAAGCTGCTCTATGAAAAAGAACAAAAATAGAATTGCAATAAAATTAATCTGAAATGTTGTAGTTTGGTCTAAATGTAATCCAAATTTACATTCAATACTTTAGCAAATGTAATTTTAGTTAAAAATTATTTATAATTAGGCTCTTTATAGATGATTCTAATTTTACCTCAAAATAATTAATAATTTATTCATAATTTTGATATATATTGTTTTTTTTCTTCATCCGAATAATTAAATATGAAGTTGTCTGATTAAAATGTTGACTATTACTATATTTTATTTAGAATTATCAAAATTAATCTATACTTAATCTAGAATAAATTAGAAACCATAATCTTTAAAATATTTTAAATAAACTATGCTTTTGGAATTGAAGTTAAACTTCCAGCATATATTTTTTAATTGGATTTATTTAATAATGGCCAATTAGTATTTTTGATAAAATCAAAAGTGAAGTAAACTTTAAATTTATTGAATAATAATTAAAAAATGATCTCAATATATTCTATATAATTCATTTATATAATATCTCATATGATTAATACTTTTCATATTTGTTATCCCAAAATAACAAATACTATCCATTATTGGTCATAGTTCCATAAATCTCATTATTTTAACAATTTAAAGATGCAATAATATTAAATGTGCCATCATTTAATTTGCTAATCAAATAGATATGATGTTTATGTCTTACCAATATTATATTTTTATTTTTATTGTGAATAATTGGGAAATTTAGATTATCATCACATTAATTATTCTAAATCAATTTAATAGTTTTATCAATATTTTATTAAACGACTCCATTCTATATTTCAAACACAAAAATATCATCAATTTTCATACTGTTTGTTACCCAAAGAAATTATTGATCATTAATTAAATGTAATTTATATCCATAATCTAAAACATCTTATTTATATTTAAATTCCCATTTTCCTTATACTCCTTTTTCCCATATGATAAATTCTGAATATCCACATGATACCAATACAGTTTCAGATGAATTAAAACAGAATGAAAATACAATATTTCTATGGTGATCTAATGAGTACTGAAAATTCAACTCATTCTTAATAAAATCTACATTCCAAACTTTTATTGAATTATCATAACCTCCTGAAATAAGTTGATCCTCCTGTTTATTTAACATCAAACAATTAATATAATCATTATGTTATTAGAATGGTTAAGAACACTTCCACTCTTTTTGATTAATTTATTGCCAACTGATGATAGTCTTATCATCAGAACCAGAAATAAAGTTATTTCTCAATTTGCTATAAACCAAACATGTAACATTATCTTTATGTTTTGAATATGTATTAATTAATTTTAATTTTCCTAATTCAAAATTCCAAATCTTAATTTTCTTAACCTCACAAGAAATCATGATTGATCCAGTTTTATCAAAAACTATTGCTTAACAATAATTACTCTATTAATTAGAATCATCAATTAATTTAAGTTCAACTTGTTTATTGATTATTAATTATTATTTCTATTAGTTCTATTAAATATCTACTTAAATCACTTCCTTTTATTTTTTATTATCATTTTCTTAATTTCCTTTGATCAATTATCCTTTTCGTTAATAAAATTGATATTTTGTAAACTTATTAATAGCTCTTCACATTTCTAAATTTCTTAAAATGATTTAAATAAATTCAATTTTTTAAAGATCTTTTGATTCCATGATTAATTAATTTAATTAATTTGATCAACTATAGATTTCTAATTAGTTTAATCAAGTTTTGTTTAATTAATTAGTTTTTCTAATTCATCAAAGAAACTATATGTAACATTTGATTGTCCCCATATCTAAATTTGTTTAATCCATTCATTTGTATTTCCTATTAAATAATCTAATTATTGAACAATATTTGATTTTAATTGATGAAAAGCTCTTTAGAGTTCTTCAAGTTATTTGATGTTAATAATTAACATATTTTCAATAGATTCTTTCTTTTACTTTTGATTTTCTTCTATATTTTCTAATGTCTTCTTAAAGCTCATTGATTTAGATTTTGATTCTAAATTTTCCATACATAGAGGACAAAAAAGTCTTTAATTCTTCTTAAGTTCTTTATCACAAGCAATCATTAAGACTGGAAGATTATGTTTCTAAGAACAAAAAAGATCTTCTTCTTATTCTAACATTTTTTATTAAATCATTTATAATTAATTCATTAATTATTGTAAATTTGAAATATTGTTATGTGGAAATATTTATGTTGTTTGAGTTTTAGAAAATCTAAGGAAAATTATTCACAGAATTATTCATTATTGAATTCAATGTAGTAATTTTCAAATAAATGTCAATAATTGATATCATCAGCTTAAAGATTGTTATAAAGGGTTTGATTTCATAGAATATTTGGAAGGTCATGCCTTTTTGTTTCAGATTGTATTAAGATCATCATTTAGGTAATTACCAGTTTAGCTACTTAAGAATTTTCATCAATCAAATCTTCTAAAAATTTACTCCTTTCAAATACAAAGTAATTATGCATAATAGAATTACTACCCTTTTAAACCATCCTCAAAGTTATAAATTTAATAAAGGACGTATTTTATGAAATACATAATTGGCAAATTATTAATGACTGCAAAAATTCTTAATTTACTATCAGATAAAAACTAAACATGGAGTGGCTTTACTGTAAATATTCAACTTCCAGGCCTTCTAGAGTATTGACATGAGTATCTTAGAACATGAAAGTAAGCCTCCTAATATAAATCTTTCAAAAGAACACTTTATCAATAGTTCCATTTTCAATCTTAACCTTCTGATGGAATTTATGGATTTACCAGCAAAATCAAGCTTACATTACTACTAACTATCAAAGATTTATTAATTTAAAATATATATGTATGAAAAACAATTACTTAAAATATCCTCTAATAATAATTCTCCAACACAGTTATCTCTCCTTAATTCTTGTTTTACTATATTATTAGGTTGAACTCTCTTGCATCTGTGGCTGATCACTCGAATCTTCAAAATCTCATTAAAATATTAAAGGATTTTAATCTAATTCTAAACTTAGTTCATAATCTAGTAAAATCGAGATTATTTTCACAATTCAATAGATAATTATATAAAAAGCTATGTTATTCTATCCTATCTATATTAATCTTTTAAATAGTTTATATAATTTCTATTTTAAAATAAAAATACAAACCAATTTAGTTATGAAGGTTTTCTTCTGATAATGATAATTTTTGAACTTATTATTTTACATCCTCAATTAAATTTCCTATTTTCTATAATTTGAATTTTTAATTTCTATTTATTATAATAAATTATCGATTTAAAATTTAAAATATTAATCTTATGTTTTATTAAACATATGAATAATATTAAAAATTTGATTATAAGGAAAAGTAATTAATTTATTGTAGAAAATAAATCATTGTAATAAGAGAAGAGAGGATAATCAGACATATCCATAGAGAGTCTAATGAAGGGATAATACCTTAATGAATTGAAGATTTCATTATTAAACTTTGAAATTCAGTGAAGAAGAAAATTATATAAAATTAATTAACATAAATTATAGAATAAACATTTAATGAGCAAAAATGTAAATTAATAATAGAGTTATTGAAATATTTCGAAATAGATGGCTGGCTAAATGAATGATCTTTTGAAAAACATGAACTTGTCTAATTATATATCGATTAATAGTATTTAGTTAGGTTTATAACCAACTAATTCTGGTTTATAGGTTTTTTGGATTAGTTTGATAATATGGGGAAGGAAATATAATAAATTATAGAGTATTATGTATCAAAATTTGTTAATAGTAATTGAGGTGAGTGAATTTTGAGAAATATTTTGTTATATAAAATGAGTTTGAAAATGATGGAAATAGAAAGATGAAAAAAAAACATTGGAAATACAAACAGGAAAAGAAGTTATATTTTATAAGTAAACTTATTTAAATAGAATTACAATGATATACGGATGCTTTTAGGAAAATCCAATCTAAATAGGAAGAATGGGGAAGATTATTGTTATATTTATTTATGATTTTAGATTTAATGGAATTATCCTGCCTTAATAATCAAAAGGAATTGAGTTTTGTAATTAAGCGAGAAGTTTTTCTACCATATTAAAAATAATTCAATAACCTTTGTAAATCAAGTTATAATCTTGAGTTGGCATATACAGCCCAGACCAAGTAGTGAGAAGTCAAATTTGGCTGACTAAGAGCTAATGTTTATATAATATATATTAAAAGTGTACTTTGGTTTTGGAATGTATTTGTGAAAAAGGATCTAAGAGTGATATTCGAAAGAGCATTAATTTATAATAAATTATTTTGGTTGATCAGAAGCTTGATTAGGTGAAGCCATGAATATAAATATGGTCTTAAATATATTGTATAATTATAGTGTAGAGGAAGAAAATCTAAAATTTTTGGCTTTGGTTAGATGTGAAAAAGGAATAGTAATTTCAAACATCAAAATCATTAAAATCTCAAATCATTCTAATATTGATAAAGAGATATAATTTTTAGATATGTAAATTTTATGGATAGTTTTTAATACAGTAAAAAGCATTCAAATGTTTAATGAGTATTGTTTGTTATGGTAAACCTCATTTAAGTTTGTTTACATATGATATTAAATGATTTGCTTTATTCTTAATAATTAACTAATTTTTAATGAATTTTAATTAAATATAAATACTAGATTAGTTTTTCATGGTTGGTTGAAAGCTTATGGTGATTTCTAAATCATAAGGTTTTGGTATTCTCAAAAATAAAGAGACGTAATAAAGTTAAAGTTATTATTTGCTTGAGTTTAACATAAGCAGTATTTATTCTTTGAAAATACTTTCTAATTTATAGATTGAATAAGAGGAATACATCAGAATAGAAGTTTGAAAAATTGATAGACATTTAAAATTATGATTGATAGTTAAACTTAGAGTTTTTTTGAGGATGTTAAAATCGTTTTTTTATCCAATAATTAATATTAATACAGATAGAATATCTTGTTGTGATTCAAATGTTAAATTTATATTATCAAAAATATTACATAGATAGTAGACAAACCTCATCTATGTGCATTTATCTGAGATAGTAAATACTTGAATACTGAATCTAAAATAAATTATTTAAATCTTTAGAAAAAAGTTAATCAAATTAAGTTACGACTATTTTCCATTTCATAAAAATCTTTATAATTTTTTGATTTAAGCCTAAAATTATAAAAACGCTTTCAAAATAAATAATTGTAGACTCAAAAATAATTCAACAAAAAAAAAGACAGGTCAAGTATTATTATTTACTAAAGATTGGATTGCATCTTGTAATTAAGTCATATCTTTAGAATATCTCTGCATATTGATATTATATTTATTAAACTCTACCTCTATAAAATATTCATTCGAAGTGAAAGTATTAATTATTTTTTTATATAAATAGTTTTAGGATAATCAAGTTTATGATATTTTATATAATTTATTTTTTCAATTCCCATCCTAATCATAAAAATAATTTACATTCAATTTCATTTTGAATATTATGGATATGGTTTGTAGATTCATATAACAAGTAAGCATAGGTAGAATGGGTAGGACATCAGATTAAGCTAAAATGGATGTTGAAAGAAGCTTAGAAGTTATCCGAAAAATACTCTTTTGAGGAATGAGAGTCAAAAATAAGTGAATTAAAAGTAAATTAATACTGCAAAATCTAAACTACACATATTCTTGAATTAATATTTTGGAATATTTGTTCTGTAATATAATGAAATTTTTTAATTTTTAAAGGATTATAATCTTCATACATAAGTTTTGCAAGAAAATAGATTTTAGGGAATTCAAAAATTTCCTGCATATAATTAGATTATTAAGGGATTAAGGGGTCATTAAGGAGATATTGAAATAGGCATTCATCGATGTATGAACTTTTTAGATGTTTCCAAATAATTTAGGCTATCTTAGTAGACTTATATGAGTTCTTGCAATTGATCGTAGAAATTAAATATTATAATTAAATGTATTTAACTTTTATTTCAACAAAAATATAGATTTATGA